ATTTTCATTTGACGTAAAAGCCCTGCCACTGCCTCTATCCCTTCCTCACTCCCTCCCTCTTTCTCTCTCCCTCTCTCTCCCTCTCTCCTCTCCGTATCTCCCTCCCTCCCCCCTCTCTCCCTCCCTCACACACTAAAGTTCAATGTCCACCCATACCTCACCCCCTCCCTCATTCCTTCCCTCCCTCCCTCACTCACTACTGTTTCTCCTCCTCATCAGCTATTTGGTGACCTTTATCAATGTCCACCCACACCTCACTCCCTCTCTCCTTCCCTCCCTCTTTCCCTCCCTCCCTCCCTCTCTTCCTCACTCACTGCTGTTTCTCCTCCTCATCCGCTATGAGGTGACCTTTATCAATGTCCACCCACAGCTCCCAGTACTTCTCGCCGGACGTTCCTTCCAAAAACTTTTTGAACTCCATGATGCCCTTGAGGGAGGTGAGGCTGTGCCACTTGTCCTTATTCCTCCGGAAGTGCGTGTCCCTCTCCTCAAAGTCCTCGTCGCTGTCCAGGAGGGAGTCGGCGTCACTCTCCTCCTCCGCGGGTTTGTGCACCGGCTTGTCCCACTGGATGTGCAGCGGCTCTCTGCGCTTCGCACCATCCTCTACTCCTCCTCCTCCCATCCCTCCCTCTTTCTTCATACCTTCTTCTCTTTTGTTAGATTTGTCTATTCCTTCTGAAAACATAAAAATAATGACCACATTACGACGCCTAAACTACACAGAGTAAAACAACAAGTTTCACCAGCCACATACACAAACGACAAGTCTCACCAGCCACATACTCATATGACAAAAAACAAACAACAAGTCTCACCAGCCACATACACAGATAACAAACAACAAGTCTCACCAGTCACATACACAGACAACAAACAAAAAGTCTCACTAGCCAGAAACACAAACAACAAACAACAAGTTTCACCAGCCACATACACAGATGACAAACAACAAACTCTGTACTAAATCCTCACAGTTCCAAGCAGACCTGCACCAATAATGTCAGAAGTGTGTACTCAACATGGTCGCTTTTAAGGACAAGCGGCCTAGCCCAGATTTCGGGGGGTTCCAGAATCTTGACCTACACCAAAAGTGGGATTGCCCTACCTATAGAGAAGTTTGGTTTCACTGGTGTGTATATTTGTTCGGTTATAGAGAAAACTCTCCTTGTCTTTTAAAGAAACTGAACAAGGGGCAAAAACCTTCCCTTCGATGTTCTCAAAACAGCATTTCTCGGGATAGCCTTCTTGTTCTTAAAAGCGACCACATCTCCAATAAGATGTACAATCCCTGTCTCCAAAGTTCATGATTTAAATTTTTCCCCAGCCTCGGCAAGTCCGTAGGAAGCAACACTGGAAAGCAAGAGACTGCATTCTGTCACACTCACACACGGACGTCCTTAACATACTGGCTGGCAGCTAGGAACATAGAATGTTATATCTTCTTACAAAACGAAAGAAAAGTTGACAAGTTTTCCAGATTGATCAGTTCTGTGATTGGCAGCTTCTACTAACGATACAGTCCCCTGCGTCAAAATACAGGACAGATAGACTGACAGACAGACAGACACACACACACTCACACACACACGACAACAGCAACAACAACACACACACACAGACACAAAGACACACACACACACACCAACAAACACACACACACACACAAACACACACACACACAAAGAGACACACACATACACACACACACACACACACCGCCCCCCCCCCTCAATGTGTTTACCTTGTGTGACCTCAGCCGGTGACCTCTGACCCTTGTCCTTGACCTCTGCCTCCTCGCCCTCTGACCCCTGGTCATCTAGCACCACACACATGTCCAGTTTGTCCACGGAGAGACAGGTCAGATCTTGGGATGGGTACAGTCCACTCACCTACACACAGACAGTTAGTTTAGATTTAGTAGAGGTTTTATGGCACTCACTCGCAACTGCATAAGGTCATATGAGCGCCAGAAGATTAGAGGTGTTACAAGAGA